TTTTGTTGAAAAATTTCATTTTCAAAATTTGACCTTTTCTGACCTGAAAGTGACCTGACCTCCGGTAAATTCAGCTGACAATGACCTCAAATGACACAGACGACACTATTTTCGAAATCTACGAGTAAAATGGACTATAAAACATGCGTCACGTGACCGATACATGATATACAATTTTCGTGACCTAGGATGACTTGGCCTTGACCTTAAAAATTCGAAGTAAAAGTTCGGTACCCTCAGCGTATCTAAGGCATCCGTCAAGGAGTGCTTAAACCAAAAATGAGCCTGATCGGTCCGGCGGTCAGAGCCTAAATTGTGAACTAGCAAAAATGTCGATAACTTTTACTTTGACCTGACCTGTGACGTCATCGGTGACCTCGAGGTCAATGAAACTAGGTTTCGCCCGACAGTTTTTCCAGGGCTATCAGACGCTGTTTGAGTTTTCACGATCGGCCCAGTAGTTTCGGAGATAGGGGGCTCTGGAGAGCCCTCCCCCCCCCAGTCACTCGCGTTATGGAAAATACCCTAGTCATGCGCGGGTTAACCCTCGCACGACCAGGCCATTTCTCATAACACGAACGACCAGGGGGGGGGGGTTGTTACGACCCCCCCCCCCTGGCGTTTCGAAACGGAAGGTCGTAGAGCTTAGCGGAAAAAACCAACGGATTGCTCTCAACGAGATCTCGCGATTGGTGGTATATTTTTTGGTCCTAGGTCAACATTTGACCTACTTTTGACCGGTCAAAGGTCAAATTTTCGGAAAAATAGACTTTTTTCAACTTTCGGCGGCGATTGCGGCAAAACGGTGGGAGATATCGACTTGAAACCTTCACTATCGTGTTCCTTGATCAATTCTCTATCGTTTGGTATGTATTTCGTTTCCCTAGCTCTAAAAATAGCGCGTTGGGAGCGCCGGAAGTCGGCAAGGTCACAGTCGACGGCAGAAATTCGAAAAATCAAAATTTAAATTTTTGAAATCTGATTGTATTTTTGGATTTGGGAGGTCCATTTGCTCCCTATAGAAGCTAATATTGCTGCATATTCCCATTGAGGTGACAAGAATTAGCAAAATAGTGGTTCGGGCGCTTTTCAAAAATAGTACCGGACGCTGTTCCTCTTGTGACGTCATAGCTCCGTGACCTGACCTGACCCGGTCAAATTTCTTATACCATATGATAGCCAATGCTTGCCCCAACATGCATGGGAAGTTTCATCACGATCCATCAACCGATGTCCGTACCACCGGCAGGAAACCTCGGGCGTTGGCACTCAGTTTGTGAAAATCCGGCCGGAGGCTGTACCTCTTATGACGTCATAACTCCGTGACCTGACATGACCCGATCAATTTTTTTTCGGCAAAAGATGCGCAAAGGTTGCCCCAGAGGGCATTGAAAATTCCAGCCCGCTAAGACAAGCCGTTTAGCGTGCACTTCGAAAAAACCTCAGGGGGGGGGGGTTGATACAACCCCCCCCCCTAGGCGTTCTAGGGTTAATCTTTGACCTTGACCTTTCGAAGTCAACACATATATGCTACGAGGCGAAATTACGAGAGGACTACGATGCTGCTAATTGCTATTATGCAGTTTTTGCCTAGCTTTATTGCTTCAAAACTGACACGTGAAAAACTATCTCTAGAGACGCTATTATGACTGAAATTCAATCAACTATACACCAGTAAAACGCCTTTTGGGCGAAGAACGAGCGAGCGAGATAGTGAGCCCTGCACGTGCGGAAGGGCGAGAGGGCACTTCAAACGGGCTTGTGCAAAGCACCCTTCTAACCGGTCGCTAGCGGTGTGCCAAATTTGAACGCAATCGGCCCAGCCGTTCCTGAGATCTGGAAGCGGCATTCTGCACGTGCGCACGTGCAAAGGGGTCCAAAATGACTTGCACGGCACCCTACTAACTGGTCCCCAACCGTGTACCAAATTTGAGCGCAATCGGCCCAGCCGTTCTCGAGATCTGGAAGCGCCCCCTGCACGTGCGCACGTGCAGTAGCACCGTAACCGCAACACATGGGAATGCATTGCCTGGTGGGCGCCTACCGGTATGCCAAGTTTCAGCGAAATCGCCCCAGTAATTACCGAGTTGTTAAAATGGGAACAAATTTGACACCTCTTCTTTTTGTATTTTGCACGTGCAGTGGGGGTCACTCACATAGGTCAAGAGTATCCGACCTTTGGTAGAAGGGATGCAGCTACACTATAAAAATTACCGCAAGACAATCGCTCAAGCCGCTGCTGAGATATGGGCCTCTCAAAATCACTACTTTTGCAGGACAGCTTGAACACCTTTGACTTTTCACGTGGCACGTGCCACGACGGTCACTGAGGTGTATCAAAAGTAGTCAATTACGGGGTAGAAGGGATGGGGCTAACCAGAAAAAAAGACCGCATGCCAATCGGTCCAGCGGTTGCTGAGATATAAGCCTCTCAAAAGCGTTACAGGCCGGGCCGGGCCGGGCCGGGCCGCTCATACTGAAAGTTTTCCCTTATATTGAAACAGGGGCGGATCCAGGAAAACTCCAAGGGGAGGGTCATGAATCGAAGTGGTGCCCCTACCTATACCCAAAATAAAAAACTCAACGGATTTCGTCCACTTCATTTTGGTGGTGCCCCCATTTTCAGTTTTTTTATTTTTATTTTTTATTTTTAGTCAGTATCTTACCTCTTAGCCACAACCACATTTACCAATTGTAAGCAAGTATACATATATGAATGTGCTATGTGTATATATGTTGTGGACGCTGAGTAATGAGTACTTACCAGGAACGTTATCAGGTAAGCAAATCGTTGTCAGTCCGACGAACTTGACCCTGGCGTCTAAAGGGTCTGTCCTTGACACTTCAGGCTTGTCAGGGGCACCAAAGTCCTTCCAGGGACACCACAAACCTGTCAGGGGCACCTACGGCCTTGTAGGGGCGCCACAGGCCCGCCAGGGGCACCACAGGCCTGCCAGGAAGCAGGGGCACCACAGGTCTAGCAAGTATACACGACAGGCCTGTCAGGGGCACAACGGGCCTGTTGGGCCCATGAGCACCCCTAGGGGCAGGGGCACCACAGTCCTTCCAGGGGCACCGCAGGCCTGTGAGGGGCACCAGCGGCCTAGCAGGGGCACCAGTCAACACAGGCCTGCCAGGGGCACCACAGACCTGCCAGGGGCACCAGAGGCCTGCCAGGAGCACCACCGACCTCGCAGGGGTAACTTGGGCCTGTCAGGGCCCAGGGGCACCACGGGCCTGTCGAGAGGCACTTCAGGCTTTTCAGGGGCACCATAGTCCTCTCAGGGCGCAGGGGTAGCAGGGGCACCAGAGGCCTGCCAGGGGCACTACAGGCCTAGCAAGGGCACCACTGGTCTATCAGGGGCACCACGAGCCTGTCATAGCCAGGCATCTCAGGCTTGTCAAGGCCCAGCGGCACCACAGGTCTGTGAGGGGCACCAGCGACCTAGCAGGGGCACCAGTCAACACAGGTCTGATGCATTTTCCTAACCGCGCCGATTTCGCTTTGTTGTATTATTTCGTTCTGAGTTCTGTCGCCACCGCCGCCGTGTGAGGTTGTGTACCGCCAGTGTGCCATCTGCTGCCACCACCGCCACCAATATAATTGAAGTGCTCATATATTCAAGTTTTTTTAAGTCAAACCAGAGAGCCGGCCCTATTTATTTCATTTTGATTTTCAACATAGTCCTCCGGGCCGGATGACTTTTTGATTTCTGTTAAATTTGCTTCTTTGATGATTTGCTGATTGATTTTGACTGATCAAGACTGAGATTGACTTGTGAATTGTGTATATCAAGATGGAGAGTGAGGCACAGCTTAACCCGCGCCCCGTAGGGCTACCGGCGGACCCTACCACCCGTAGGGGGGGGCCGTATCGGCCCCCCCTAAGATCTCGGAAAGTTACCGGCCGATTTTCAAAATTCAAACGGCGTTCGATAGCCCCACCCGGGAACTACCTTGTGACCAAATTTCATTGACCTAGGTCAAACCGATGACGTCACAGGTCAGGTCAAAGGTCAGATTTTCACCGTTCACAGGCAATTCGAGAAATGTGCTGTGAAAGCGAGTAAATTGGTAATTTATTGAAAACCATCGATGGTACATTGTTCGTCAAACACATACTTTGCTATCTGAGGTCACTGATACCAGGTCAGGTCACAGCGAGGTCAGGTCACCGGGGGTCACAATATGAATGTGTCGTGTGATACATGTTTTATGGTCCATTTTACATGACAAATGCGATTATGTGGGTTAGGCAACCTTTGGGGCCAGCCTAGGTCACGTTTTTGTGAAGGTCAGGTCAAGGTCAGGTCAAATTAGGTCAAATTTCAAAGTTGATATTTTTGCATAAAATGGGTATCGATTCGATGCAGCTTGTCACGGGGAGTCTAATGGTGGTCTTCGTTTTGCTCTACGAGTTCTAGAATTGCCAAAAATTGAGTTTGAAAATTTGACGTCATCATTTTTGAACAGTTTTTTCGCTATAACTTGGCCAAAAAACAAGGTATCGATCTGAAATTTGGTATGTAGATAGAAGACGGTAGGCACTATCACATATATTCCGGTTTTTTCGAAACTCAAAAAACTTTTTGGATTTTTTGGCGAATATATAAAAAAAGGCTTTTTTGATTTTTGGGGGTCAAAACCCAAAAATTTCAAAAATTCGAGATAGCAGTTTTGTAGCCCTGTCAATTCTACACCTTTTATGTCCTGATCATTTTTCTGTATCTTCAAAGCTGTAGTCCTGACAGGTCTTCTCGCGAAGGTCTTTTTTCGGTCGAAAATGACAGAACATGACGTCACTCTGACGTCATTTGTGGCCAACCTATCATAGCCTCTGGAAAAATTTTTGGTCACAATGTGTAAAATTGATGCCCGGAGGGGTCCTGAAAGTTTGGTGGCGATATCTCCAGCCGTTTAGGAGATATCGACCGAAAAGGACAGGGGGGGCCGTTTCGGCCCCCCCCCCCCTACGGGGCGCGGGTTAAACAGAAAAGGACTGTGGCTCGAGGTGAGGCAACCAGACTGATGAAAGAGCTTGCCGAATGTGATAATTCTCAAGAGGACGACCTTGCCTTGGCAATACACCACCTTGAGCAGCACGTTGATCTGATGACCGAGATCCAGGTGAGCCTGACAAAGCTGTCTGTGCCTGATGATACCTCGCATGTTCAGGATATGCAGGATCAGATTTTCAAAGCTAAGCGTGTGCTTGCTCGTCTGGAAAGGAGCTCTGAGGTCTCTGTTGGAAGGGCTCAGTGTGTGCCGCCTTACCTGGGGGGAAAGCTGGACCTGAAGCTGCCCAAGTTCTGTGGGGATGTGGAAAAGTGGTCAGAGTTCTGGAGCCTGTTCTGTGTATCTGTCCATGACAACCCTGCTTATGCACCTGTCGAAAAGCTGGTGCACTTGAAGGCGCACCTCGTCGATCAGGCAGAGGTGGCTGTGCAGGGTCTTCCCATCACTGACCAGGGCTACTTGAAGGCTGTGGAGACCCTGAAGGAAAGGTTTGATCGCCCAGATTTGTGCATTAAGGTGCTGATGCAGAGATTGTTGTCCACCACCCCTGTGCACAGTGACAATGACTTGGTCCGCTTGCGCCGCATGATTGATGGGCTGATTTCTGAGGTCAGGGCGCTGGAGACGATGAACGTGTTGCCTGACTCATATGCTGTCCTGCTGATGCCTGTGCTATTGTCGTGCATCCCTGAGTCATGGAAGATTGAGTGGCTGAGATGCAGTGCTGACTCATCTGATGAACTCACAGTCTTCCTGAAGTTTCTGCAGAAGGAGATGAGCATCAGGGAGGAGGCAGCTGCTCGGAGGAAGAGGACCACCAGTGAGCAGCTACCTACCGCAGTACCTGGGAAGCCGACAGTCAGCATGCTGAACGTGAGGCAGAAGAAGGGACCTGACTGGGTATGTCTGGCATGCGGAACGGGTAAGCATGGCCTGGCTGCGTGTTCGGCCTACCGCACCATGACTGTGCCTGTTCGCTGGGATGTTGTGCGCCAGGCTAAGCTCTGCTACCAGTGTCTTGGCCCCCATCTGCTGCGTGCTTGCCACAGCACCCGATGCCCATGGTGTGGTGGCCCGCACCACTCGTCATTGCACCCACCGCCCGGAGAGCATGCAGCCCTCATGCCTACTGAGAGATGTGTACCTGATCGCGGACAACTGTCACCCCCTGCCGCTGCTGCTGTGTCTGAGAGTCGCATGCCTGATCGCAGACCATTGCCGCCCCCTGCTGCTGCTGGTACTTTTTCTGCCAACCAGGGACGGATGTGCATGGGCGTGCGGAGCCAGCAGCACTGCTACGTGCAGACAGCGCTCGTGGAGGTGGCTGGTCCTCGGGGCGTGCGTCTAGTACGCGCGCTGATTGACGGCGGGGCAGACGCCTCCTTCATCCGGGCTTCACTGGCTGACCAGCTGGGACTCGAGAAGGTCGGCCAGGGGACCTTCGCGTGCGTCGGATTCAAGGAGAGAGTTGAGGAGGCTCACCAGTACGACCAAGTAAGCGCGCGGCTCACTGGATACCAGAAAGGTGAGGCCGAGCTTGTGTTCTGGAGAACTGATAAGCTGTGTGCGCCCGTGGGAGCTCCACCACCCATTCAGTCTCTGCCCCCAAGTGTAGAGCTTGCTGATGACTTCCGTGACGGACCTGTTGATGTTCTAATTGGGTGTGATCAGCTGTACAAGGTGGTGTTGTGGAACCAGGTGGAGGTGAATCCTGGCCTCCGTCTGGTGGAGACTGTGTTTGGGTATGTGCTCCATGGACAGTCTCCAGGCCAGCAGACGACCCGGCAGCGGCACGCCTACCGCTGTCAGCTGGTTGACGTCGAGCGAATGTGGACGCTGGACGCTGTGGGAGTCGCCGCAGAGGAGACCGCCGAGAGAGACCCACCTGTACCGACTTGGAACGCCACCGAGAACAGGTATGAGATGGGGCTAGTATGGAAGTCCGACCAGCGCCCAGTGTCTAACCTGATGTTATCGAAGACCCGGACTCACCGTATGACAGAGAAGTTGAATGTTGAACAGTTCCAGGAGTACGATGACCACCTGCATCAGCTGCTGGAAGACGCTGTCATCGAGCCCGCGCTGCCGAGTCCGCCATCAGAGTTCATCTTACCGCACCGAGGACTGCACCGCAACGGCAAACTGCGAGTGGTGTTCGATGGATCAGCGCCAGACGGTGCAGGTATGAGCCTGAACTCCTACCTTGAGCCGGGAGAGAACCTGCTGCATCGTTTACCAGCTGTGCTACTTAACTTCCGTTCAGGAGCCGTGGGTTGTCAGACGGACATTCGTGCAGCTTTCCATCAGATTGTACTCACTGAGGAGGACCGTCAGTTCGTGCAGCTGCTGTGGGCGGGCCAGCGGCTGAGGTTTCGCAGGGTCCCGTTTGGACTCACCTGTTCGCCCTACATGCTGCTGTGCACTATCGCTGAGCACGTCCGCCGGTGTCTGCGCGATGAACCTGTTCTGTTGCAGAAGGTTCAGGATTCCGTCTACATGGACGACATGTGCCCGTCCTTCAGTACGAGGGCGGAGGCAGAGGCCGGACTGACGAAGATGGGTGACGTCTTCAGCGAGGCCTCCATGGATCTTCACAAGACCAGGATGTCTGGTGACGACACTGAGGACGAGAAGGTGCTCGGCCTACTGTGGAGCACAAGATCGGATCGTCTGGCCGTGACCGTGCCACAGGTGCCCTGCCCTGGCACCCGGACTGAGCTGCTATCTGCTGTGAGTAGACCGTTTGATCCGCTCGGCGTGGTGACGCCGTGGCTGATCTGGGGGAAGGCCCTGTTTCAGCGTACCTGGCTTGACGCTGAATGCACATGGGATAGTCCCCTGAGTGGGGAGCTGCAGACCGAGGTCCGAGCCTGGTGGAGAGACTCGCCGGGGAGGGTGATCTGGTTCCCTCGCCTAGCCGGAGCGCGTGACGATCAGTCCGGAGCGACTTTTCACGTGTTTTGTGACGCGTCTCGGACCGCCTACTGCGCGGTGGTGTATGTGGTCCAGGGTGGGGAGCCTGCCCTGGTGATGTCGAAGAGTAGGCTGGCCCCCCTGTCTCCACATCTAACGATCCCCAGGCTGGAGCTGATGGCCGCTGTTGTTGGAGCCAGGTTGATGGACTTCATCAAGAACGCGCTGCATCTGGAGAGCGCAACAGTCACCTACTGGTCCGACTCGACCGACGTGCTTCACTGGCTCAACCGGAGGCGGCCTCTCAAGATGTTCGTGGAGAACCGGGTGAAGACTGTGCTTCAGTTGACGACCGCCGACCAGTGGAGGTACGTCAGAGGCTCTGATAACCCCGCTGACATAGGCACGAGAGGGGTAACGCTGACCTCTCTCATCGCCTGTGACAAGTGGTGGAAGGGTCCACCATTTGATTTGAGTCCGCCTGACTATGATACCTCGTTAGTGCTACTGACGCCTCCCTCAGCAGAAGCCGAAGCAGAGACGAGGCCCGAGGTCAGACGTCAGGTCGTGACCGTGAGACGAGGGCGTGGCCCTGATCCGATTCCGGACGTCATGCGTGGACCGTTTGATGTGACTCGGTGTTCTCATCTCAAGCAGGCAGTGAACCGCACCGCGTGGATTCTTCGTTTCGCGCACAACGCCAGGCACCAGCGCACGGAGAGGAGGAGTGGAGCGCTGTCACCCGAGGAGCGCCGGGAGGCGCTGCGGTTCTGGATCCGGGTCTCGCAGAGTGCCGCCTACGCGCCGGAGCTGGAGGCGCTGACGGCTGGCGCGCCGCTGCCACCCAACTCGCGACTCGAGAAGGTCAGACCTCGTCTAAACGCAGATGGTGTCCTAGAAGCTGTCACGCGAACTCACGAACCTGCTCTGATCATTCTGCCCGAGTTTGCCCATCTGACCACCTTGATAGTGGATGATGCACACCGTAAATCGTTTCACCAGGGTACCCGCACCACACTGGCACTGCTGTCTGGTGAATACTGTGTGAGGAGACGAACTGTTCATCGTGTAGTCAGTACATGCTTCAGATGCCGGAGGTACCGGGGTGCGCTGTACCGGTCAGCTGATGGCGCGCTGCCCCTGTTCAGGACGGAGCCCAGTCGTCCGTTCAGCCGGGTCGGTGTGGACTTTTTCGGTCCGATGTACGTCAAGGGCGGCGACAAGGTATGGGTACTGCTGCTTACCTGTGCCTCGTCGCGAGCTGTGCATCTCGAACTGTGTAAGACTCAGAATGTCGCTGACGTCAAGTTGGCTTTGCGCCGCTTCTTTGCGCTACGTGGCACCCCATCGCTAGCTGTGAGTGACAATGCCAGAACGTTTCATGCCCTGCTCGGGCACCTACCTGCAGCTGTGACCTGGCGCTTTGTACCCGAGGCGGCGCCCTGGTGGGGCGGCTTCTGGGAACGTTTGGTCGGGATAACCAAGAAGTCCCTGCGCATTACCCTGCACCAGTGTTATCTTACCCATGAGGAGTTGGCAGTCACCCTGTATGAGTTGGCGTTACAACTGAACTTCCGACCTCTCACCCCAGGTGACGACGACGTGCTGACGCCCGCGCATCTGTTGTTCGGGGTCACGTCCATCCGTGGCGTGCTCTCTCCGTCTGGCCACGAGCTGGACAGCCTGAGTCGGCGCTGGCGGCACCAGCGGCTGGTCAGCGAGCACCTGGTTCAGCGATGGACCAAAGAGTACCTGCAGACTCTACGCACGTGGAGCTTCTCTCAGCGCGGCCGTCCGGTTCGGCTGCCCGAGGTCGGAGAGATTGTGCTGGTGCACGCGGAAGGTCCGCGTGGTCGCTGGCCTCTGGCGCGCGTGGTGTCCCTCCTGTCTGGAGCGGACGGCCGCGCTCGCGCGGCGAGTATCGTGCTAAGAGGGCGACTTACCCGCCGCCCGATCAACAAACTGTTGAGACTAGAGGCGTCGGAGTGAAGTGAGCGTCGGCGAGGCGAGTGCCGAAAAAGTGACTGTGTGCCGAGTGAGGAGAGACTTTTCGAAGTGACGGCTCACTTCGAAAGTGGGGAGTATGTCGCTATTCGTTACTGCCCTGTGACCTTTTTTTCTCCTCATGTTACCGTACCGTATTTGTTTTCCATCGTTACTGTGTTGTATCCTACCTTTCCTTTACGCCTCGTCATTTTATTTTACCTGTGGCAGCCCATTTGGTAACCCCTGCATCCTTCACGAATATTTTCCTAACCGCGCCGATTTCGCTTTGTTGTCGTATTTTGTTCTGAGTTCTGTCGCCACCGCCGCCGTATGAGGTTGTGTACCGCCAGTGTGCTATCTGCTGCCACCACCGCCACCAATATAATTGAAGTGCTCATATATTAAAGTTTTTTTTTAAGTCAAACCAGAGAGCCGGCCCTATTTATTTCATTTTGATTTTCAACACGCGGGCCATACAGCCAGAGACATCTCTCGGCGATTTTATGAACTAGCTGTGCAATGACTTTCAAATGAATAGAACTGCATAGTGATGCATGCAATGATGATTCACTCTACAGGACTGAGTAGAGAATCGATGTCTTTATGATTCCTAGCAGCCACATTTTTGAAATTGTTGTCATGGCGTTCATGCAATGCACTGCAAGATGAAAATTGTATCATGCAAAGCATAGTACAAAATTCGAAAAAAGGCTTGCTAGGAAATGTTTCCCTTGACTTCGTCAGTCCAAAACTGCAAACATCACAATCGTGCGACAATCCGTTATTAAGTTCTATTCGTTTGAAATTTTGATTTTGCAATATGTTTGCCTAAATTGCTCAATATGTGTGGATTGCAGAACAACGGTAACCACTCTGTGATGACGAGGTTAACGTCATTCATAACATATCCAAAAACAAAGGCAATCGAAGCAACGATGCTCTAGATATTTACGAAAAACGTTTCTCATAGCGTTACGCGTGAAACGCACCCTTAAAAGTAGGATGCTGATGTCCCAAAAAATGTTAAGTTTCCACCACTGAATATATGATTTAGGATTGAAGGATGGGCGCTTAGGATGGGAATATCTGACTGGGATGGAGACAGTAGGAGAGCGATATTTACCCGAGACAGCATGACCAATGTAGGAGATGCACTTGTAGTGGTCAGTTGCGTTGAGAGTTGCCGATTTAGGGAGCCCAAGAAGTTTTATAGCGCCTGGAGAGTTTGTCAAGTCGCACCAGCTGGTGAAGTCTGGACGGGCGGCGGCGAACGCAAACGCACCTGAGGGCAGCGAGGCGTACAAAGTTAGTGGATGTGACGTGGGTCCGGGTACGATACGCGCGCGGCGACCGGAATGCACAGCAGTGAGTTGGTATTGAATTAACCAAGGCTAAGGCAATTAATAAAGCTGATTCGATACGTAAAACGAAACATAATGATAAACCGAAAGTGACGTTGGCTAGAAATGAGTATAAATATAGTTATGCAGACACGAAAGCAAAAGTGCAGCAATAACAAAAGATTACCGGCGAAGCCAGCGCTGAGATAAAGCTACAAATTGTAGATAGGCTCATCTAGAAACCAGCTGTCTGCGTCAGACAGAGACAAAGACAGGGAAATTGACAGAGACCATGAGAAATAAACAAAGCGTAACTGAACACAATATGATTAAACACGGTAAAAATGACGCGTGTCCCAATGCCCACTCCCGATCACTCCCAGTGCCCCAGTCCCGACCCCAACCCCGTCCCAACGCACTCCCCCTCGCCCCCCCCCCCCCTCCCCGACGCCCCAGCCCCGGCCTAGATCCTGTGCCTACCCGACCAGTCACCAGGTCAGCGAGCGACGATACCAGCACACAGTGACTGATACAGTTACAAACCGTGTGACAGATGTGAAACCTCCGGGATCCGTTGTCCGGGCCGAGACCCGATCATGCGGGCAGGCAGACGCGGCGGGCAGGACTCGGCTCCGGCTCCGTCACCCGAGCTCCCGCCCCGAGCTGGGAACCGTACACACGGGCAGGCAGACGCGGCGGGCAGGACTCGGCTCCGGCTCCGTCACCTGAGCTCCCGCCCCGAGCTGGGAACCGTACACACGGGCAGGCAGACGCGGCGGGCAGGACTCGGCTCCGGCTCCGTCACCCGAGCTCCCGCCCCGAGCTGGGAACCGTACACGCGGGCAGGCAGACGCGGCGGGCGGACTCGGCTCCGGCTCCGTCACCCGAGCTCCCGCCCCGAGCTGGGAACCGTACACGCGCGCAGGCAGACGCGGCGGGCGGGACTCGGCTCCGGCTCCGTCACCCGAGCTCCTGCCCCGAGCTGGGAACCGTACACACGGGCAGGCAGACGCGGCGGGCAGGACTCGGCTCCGGCTCCGCCACCCGAGCTCCCGCCCAAACCGTGACTACATTGAATCGTTTGAGCATTGAACACTTACGAAGTAGTTTTGATGCCTTTGTAACATGTTTCGAGGCTGTCGGTGGTGATTTACACCTACTATGGATAGCTGGCCAGGACGCCCACTGGTTGACCTGACCTGACCTGACCCGACCTGGCCTAAATGCCTGGAGACATCATCTTTGATCAAAACTGATCTGAAAATCGTAATCAGTACCCCGAAAAACTACAACAAACTCAATTTACGAAGTTCTACCAGGTCCCAATTTTCCCGACTTTTGGGTCTTTGACCTGACCGGGAAGGTCAACCAATGACCTTGGACCTTAAAAATGGATAGATACCACCGGCTTCTTCTCGTTACGGGAAACACGCTAGATTTTTTCGTGAAGCTCTAGCTTAATCAAAGACCGTGCATACATACCTACAATACATACATACAACAGCAAGAGGGTTCAACGGACCTCCTCCCCTGTACGTTAGACGCACACATAACACCAATAAGTGCGAGTGTCAAGACTCCTATAGGTGAAATCAGATACATTTCAAATTGATTTGGTGGACAGTTTTAGGATAGCACTTGCAATGATTAGCGATGCTAAAAGATATTTCGACCTATGAATAATTTCAAGTAACTTGTAATTAAGCGCCATTAATAATCAGATTCATGAAGATTCGTTAACTTTAGGGTCGATGCGGACCCCCTAGATGGCTTCAGAAATTCTTGAAATTTGGCATGGTGGATACATTTAGGATACCTAACAAATTAATTTCGGTGACAGGAGGTTCACATAAATTTTTCGAAAAAGTGGGGCGTTTGATGCACCCTAATGTATGTGATAGCCCCTACCGACTTCTATTTACATACCAAATTTTAGATTGATACCTATCTTTTGGCCAAGGTAAAGCGAAAAACTGTTCAAAATTGATGACAAATTTTTAAACACAATTTTTTGCAATTCTATAAGACTGCGAAAAAAACTAGAGCGCAAAACAAAGACCACCATTAGACTCACCGCGACGAGCTGCATCTAATCGGTAGGTACCCATTTTATGCAAAAATATCAACTTTGAAATTTGACCTTTTTTGACCTGACATTGACCTGACCTCAGCCACGACGTGACCTAAACCGTTCCTAATGGTCTAATAACCAACACCATTGAGTTGGAAATGAAAAATTGGCCATAAAACATGCAACGCACAGCCCTAGTAAAATTGGGTTCATGTGTTGACCCTTGGTGACCTGACCTGTGCCCTGACCTAGTATCATCAGTGACCTCTAATAGCAACATATGTATTAGGCAGCTGACGCCCTAACGCTGATTTTCGATAAAATGCGTTTTACCATGATGTTATAGCGCATTCCCTAGTAGACCATAGAACGGAAAAAACATTTTATCTTTGGCCTGTGACGTCATCGGTGACCTCGAGGTGAATGAAATCATATTTTCCTCGACAAATTTGACAGGGCTTTCACACACTGTTTGAATTTTGCGGATCCGTCCTGTAGTTTCCGAGATACGAGAGGGAATAGCCCCCCCCCCCTAGGTCGCGTTATAAACAGACCCCACCAGGGCGCTGGTTAACGAGTTCTTGATCTGAGGTTAACAGGACTTCGTCTAACATGTTAAGTGGGGGGGGGGCAATTGCCTCCCCAGTCGAGCGGACTGCCCCCCCCCCGTGGCCAGCATTCCTTCCGCCCCAGTCAAAACGCGAACCCGTTGAAAAATTACCTTCTCTGCAATATATTTTTGCCTTACCTTACTTGTATTTGACGAGAACGGAGAAACATTAAAAAAAAAATCATCTCGTGACCGTATGGCACCCCCATCAGGTGAGGTGTGGCGCCCTCCTAACCCTGGTCCCCCTTCGCGATTTTCTAAATACGCCGCTGCTCGATATATTGTCCATATAACAATGCAAGGCTTCTCCGAGGTCAAACTCATGCAAGGGTGTACTTTCCTAAGAATGTTTCAAGGATTCAAGTCAGTCATCACAGCTCAATCATTTTAAGTATCATATTTTAAAACCGAGTCTGTGGGCTGTGATATGACTTCCAGGGGCTACCCTGGTCCAATTAGGTATGTTTAACCCTATTAGTGGCAGGGGGGGGGGGGTTGTTTTTATCCACCCCTCAGGTTTTTCGGGAATATCTCCGAAACCGCTGAAGCTACGATGCTGAAATTTTCTGACTTTTCCTAAAACTAAATTGGGCACATTCCCTGAAAATTTCAAGTTCATAACTTTACCAGGGGCGGCTCCAGAGCACTGGGAATTGGGGGGTCCTATTCGTGAAGCGAGTCATTTGGGCGAAGATCACGATGCTGCACCAGTTTTACGAACAGTGAATGAAAGGTATCATGTGATAACATATACAGTTATTGTGCATCCTCTTTTGACACGTTTTTGGTATAATAGGCGGATCCAGGCGTCCAAAAAGGGGGGTTATGTTTTACCTCCCAACATAGGTGCCCTGACACCGCCTATGCATGACCAATACAATTGTAGTCGTTCTCTCATAAGAAAATTGTAACATAACAAGACCATTACCACCATTTTTAGAAACAGTACCAACAAAAACCTTATTTACTATACTTTTTGTGTACCCCCAATCTCAATGATCTGTATCCGCCTATGATTTTTGAAAATGCATATTTTTGGGATCCATGTGAATTCCTGGTTCATTCTCTATCGATCGGCAAAAGTTGCGTTAAGATTGGTTCAGAAACCTGGCCGTGATAAACAGTCTAAAATGTATCTGCAATTTGCCCGTTTTTACCCCCCTCTACCCCCCTATTGACATTTTTAATTTTTATTTTTTAGAAATGTAGATCACGTTGAGCGAAATCGAACGCCGTTTGAATTTTGAAAATCGGCCCGTTAGATCTCGAGATATCAAGGGGGGGTCGTAAACAGCCCCCCCCTGCCACTAATAGGGGGTAGCCAGGAGCCTGCCACTAATAGGGTTAATGCCGTTTTACTTCAGATGTCAAATTTATCGTGAAAAAGTACTGACGTTTTTGCTCATATCTCAAAGCGTTCGGCAGCTACAAATATTCGCCAGAGGGGGGGAGGTGGAATGTCCCCCGGAACCGTGCGCGATATTTCCTTCGGGCTTGCTTAAGATGAAGCAAATACAGTGCTTAGTAGAGCCAATAAACATGTATTTTCGAGAAATTGTTTTTTTAGCTCAAACCCCTCGTTTCCGAAAAAAACATAAAACAATTACAAACAAGGGCCGTTATCCCGAACAGCTCAGAGCGCACAGACGGCACAGACGGGTATATCAGAGTTGGCGCGCGCGCGGCCCGGGCCGGTGCGGACGCGGTGCTCAGACGCAGCGCGGACGGCCGCCGTAGCCGATGATACACTTCTTGCCGTAGGGGCACGGGTGGTTGGCGCACGGGTCGATGGTGACGCACTGCGCCTGGTTGCCGACCAGGCGACACTGCTGGTTGGGCCCGCACGGGTACTGGCAGACGGGCAGGCAGCGGCGGCTGCAGCCGAACTGGCAGCACTGCTGGCCGTACGAGCAGTCCTTGTCGCTGTAGCACAGGACGTCGCAGGTGGTGGGGCCGTCGGGCACCGGACAGACGCCGTTGTACTGCGGCGGAGGCGGCGGCGGGATGCCAGAGCCGGCTGAAAGGTGCACGCCAGTTGTTAGACGTAGATTCATAATGATAGAACGCGGACGAACAAGACGATCTCAAAAAGTGCTACTGTCTCAGTGAGGTTTCAAAATGAAGAAAGTTTGAAGTAGAACTTCTCCAAATTCCCAGTTTTTTTCTATTTTGTTGCTAAATTTGATAACTTCCTGATATTCGTTGGTCACAATGTTGTTAATTATTGTTGTAGAAGGCTGCTATACGGAATCTTTGATTTGATACCGGGACAAACTGGGGTGTGGGATGTGACCTGTTCGATGATTTAAACGGTACGATCACTGACGAGGATGTGTAATAATTACAGCTAACTTCAGCGGCATAAGGCAAATTACGGGGGTAATCCGCGTAAGGCCGTTATTCGCGATATGCACGCTACAATATTGGTGTGCACCATGTCGTTAGGCGGCACGGGCGGACATCGATAGCAGCGCCTCTATCGGTCACTAGGGAAAGCTGGGCTGTAGGCGACGAAATACCGGCTGAGTTGTCACACGTTGAATAGGTTCATAGCCATCCGTCTTGTGAAAAAGTTGAACTTTTGCCTTTAATATTTCTACAGGCAATTTTAGAAGTGTCTTCACATGGATTACAAAACCGTTTAGATTATTGTATTCACTTCAAGCCTTCCCTATTGTTCTTGATGATGCGGGAACTATTTCTAATTAGTGTTTCTAGCTTAGTAAAAGAACATACTGTGCAAACGATGAAAAAAAGCATAAATGGAAGATTTTAAATGCAATTTTCTCTAACAATTAATGGTAAATTCTCTACATATCAAGGAAAAGGTGCATGCTAACTGATAATTTAAAGTTCTGGGGCCAGTTGTTTTCTTCTTTTCTTACGTCGCCCCAATGGCCGCGAATACACTTGTGATAACGCCTATCGTGCAATGTAGTGTGTAGGCACTGGTATACCACCAGTGACGGTCGAACTTTACTCGAATACCGCTGTGCACTAAATGTATGATATGCTTAGTGCTACCTCCTCGTTTCATCCACAGCTCAGTGTGCAATTTTTAAAAATATTATTCTTAGCTTAACCCTATTAGTGGCAGGCTCCTGGCTACCCCATATTAGTGGCAGGGGGGGGGGGCTGTTTACGACCCCCCCTTGATATCTCGAGATCTAACCGGCCGATTTTCAAAATTCAAACGGCATTCGATTTGGCTCAACGAGATCTACATTTCTAAAAAAAAAAATAAAAAATGTCAATAGGGGGGTAGAGGGGCGTAAAAACGGGCAAATTGCAGATACATTTTAGACTGTTTATCACGGCCAGGTTTCTGAACCAGTCTTAACGCAACTTTTGCCGATCGATAGAGAATGAACCAGGAATTCACATGGATCCTAAAAATATGCATTTTCAAAAATCATAGGCGGATACAGATCATTGAGATTGGGGGTACACAAAAAGTATAGTAAATGAGGTTTTTGTTGGTACTGTTTCTAAAAAGGGTGGCAATGGTCTTGTTATGTTACAATTTTCTTATGAGAGAACGACTACAATTGTATTGGTCATGCATAGGCGGTGTCAGGGCACCTATGTTGGGAGGTAAAACATAACCCCCCTTTTTGGACGCCTGGATCCGCCTATTATAGCAAAAACGTGTCAAAAGAGGATGCACAATAACTTTGTATATGTTATCACATGATACCTTTCATTCACTGTTCGTAAAACTGGTGCAGCATCGTGATCTTCGCCCAAATGACTCGCTTCACGAATAGGACCCCCAATTCCCAGTGCTCTGGAGCCGCCCCTGGTAAAGTTATGAACTTGAAATTTTCAGGGAATGTGCCCAATTTAGTTTTAGGAAAAGTCAGATAATTTCAGCATCGTAGCTTCAGCGGTTTCGGAGATATTCCCGAAAAACCTGAGGGGTGGATAAAAACAACCCCCCTGCCACTAATAGGGTTAATTCTCACCCTTCGCCCCTGATTGAGCTACATGGAAATTCGTGGAAAAGCGGGGGTGCTGCCTGTGACGAGAGGAAGCCGATGATATTCAGTTTTATGGCCTCCTAGATCATTGGTTGACCTCCCAGGTTAGGTCAATGACCAAAAAGTCGGAAAAACGGAGGTCTGCTAGAATTTTGTAAAGTGAGGTTGTTATAAGGGTTTTGGGGGTCCTGCTTACCAATTCATGTTAGTTTTGATCAAGGATGACGGATTGATGCATTTGGGATAGGTCTGGTCAGGTCAGGTCAGGTTAGGTCAACCGGTAGCCTGTGTCAACTATCACTGACAGCTTCGTAACATGTTGCATAGACACCAAACTTATTTCTCGAAAGTTAAAAGAGGTGTTAAATTCAAAATCAGCACCAAAAACTACTAAAGGCACATGCCTAAAACTGGAAGAAGTGAATCAAGGATATGCCATCTAAGGTCTATGATCTTGACCTGACCTTCACGTGACCTTGACACCCACCACAATGCATTGAACAGGCGAACAGGCATCATTTCACATGTTGAAACATTTACATCACAAAAAGACTGAGTAGTGCAAGGATAATGTGCGCTGATGTACATACGTAAGTACATATTTACGCCGAATCTTGACTTCGGCCTGACATGGTATCAAAAACGGGTCATAGGTCAAAAGCCATTTTGGCCAGGGTCATGGAATTTTAAGGGTAGGTATAACATGAATTAAATCGGGGGGTTTGAAAGGTTCGTCGTGATCGGTCACCTTTTTGCGAGTTATTTGCAAAAAAACGAGGGTGGTCTGTTTGACACCCCCCCATAAGTGGATGGGCCTTTATCTTTATAGGTTGAAGAATTTAAAGAATTTTAAACTTTAAGTTTTTTTAGTGGCGAAGAGGAGCGGAGTCGAGTAGCGTACTTACCGGCGAGTGCCGCCATGGCCACCACCACCACCATCGCTGCGCGGACACCGGCCATAGCTGACTGTGGAGAGCTGTACGGTTTGGGAGTGTAAGGGTCGACGGCTCGGGGTTCGAGTGCAGGGAACTCGGCGGCCCGGCCTTATATTCGGTCCGGCCGCCAGTCTCCTAACGGATCGCGTCCGTCTTATCCACCAGTGGTCACGCTGCCCGTCCAGATTACGGCGAGATCACGCTCACATGGCGACTGAAGTTGAAATCGCAGGCCGGTACTAATTGCATTATACGTGTGGGTAATCTGCCAGACAGTCTAAAAATAGTAACAGACTATTTCGAGATGAAGTTCACCTGAACTAGCTACATAGGTACTGCGTCTCAATGCAACGATGCCTAACCTGATTCAGACAAGGTTAGAAAGTTGTAGTTGAGCATTTACGATTTGAGAAGCGAGGCTCCATCGAAGAAAAAAATAATGTCATGATGCAATCTATGTCTACACGGGATCGTGCCGTGTATCCAGGAACCACAATTCACCTATTGGCTAATATCAAACAATTCGTCTATTGGCTAACCACGATCATAACACTATTTTCGGGTCCTCTTTGTTTTCAGGAGATTTTGGAGTTACAATCAATTGTTCGTAAATGACAGCAATAGTTTTACAAGGGAACTACGCGCCAGCAATAGAGCTCAACACCAATATGGAGGCGCAAGCCTCACAATAAAAATTTCAACGATCTTCGGAGGAGCGATCTGCCGAAGAAACTCCAAGTGCAAGCTTGCTGTGGAACAGACTATAGTTTGGTGCAAGAGGCCTCTGGTTTTCAATATCAAAGCGCATTTTGAATTCAATGTAGGGCATTTAGGCTAATTTTCCTAATTTATACATTTTCATTGATTTTTTTTAGGAACGTGGGTGAAGAAAACAACTTTTTTTAAGTTACGCAATTGAACTGATTTATTCCAGAGCCCAGCTATGGCCAATGGGGCTACGTTTTCACGCACTGTGTAGTTTTGTATGTTGTTGTACAATACATACCTACCCATGCATACCTTCGATAGAAGATGTGAAATGAAAGCGGCATCGATGTGCAGGACGGTTTAGAAATGCAACACTGGACACAGGAATCTCGGATGTTTTTCATTCATAAAGATGGTTATTCAAATATTGCGTAAGCTTTTTGCATTGCTAGGGTCGGATAGACTTCACTTTTTCACGAAAAATAGCGCGAAAAGCGGCGGATCCTGACGCAACTTCCAGTGTCTATGACACAAACTCCAAACACTTCATGACTTTTACTGGAAAGACGTTTGATCTATAACCTCCTTCGTTAGACAACGCAAGGCAACAATGGTGATTTGACGCATGTCAGCGTGCATTATCTGTGCGTTTCCAGACTTTTTGTGACAAGAAACGTGACAAAACGCAAAACAGTATTTGTCTCATGAGTTTTGGTGAGTGTCAAAGCTGAACCGTTCGACCGGGACCGTTTCTGACCGATGAATTCACTCCCAAGTCCCAAAAGCTCCAGTTTTTACGCTAGATCTTTTTTAATGGGGGGACTTATAATCTCGGGTTTTGAAAAAAAAATGGAAAAACCGGAATATTTATAATACATCACCCATCGATACCCTACTGTAGAAAGTTTTAGCACAATGTCTTCAAAAATGGCCAAGTTGTAAGCATTATAGTAAAAAATTCACAAATATACATTTTTAAATCCAGTTTTCATTACATTTTTGACATCTTACAGCAATTTAAATAGCACCATCGTGTTCCTAAGCTCAAATTGCGTCTGATAGGCACCTTTTTATAAACTCATTTTCTAAATTTGACCTTTTTTATCTGACAGTGACCTGACCTCAGGTAAATTCAGCTTAAAATGAATTCAGATGATACAGACGACATTGTTTTCGAATCATTGAGCAAAATGGACCATAAAACATGCGTCACGTGACCAATACATGATATAAAATTTTCGTGACCTAGGATGGCCTGGCCTTGACCTTAACCCTCGCCGGCACAGGGGGGGTTGATGCAACCCCCCCTAAGGTTTTTCGAGAATAACTCGCGTAAAAAGCGGCCGATCGCAACGAAACTTTCAGTACCCTCGCATTGATCAATTATACACCTACCCTGAAAATTTCATGACCCTGACCCCAATGACCTTTGACCTGTGACCTCTTTTCTGTGACCATGTTTGGCCGAAATCGCGGTTCGGCGCATGTCGGCTCGCATTAGCCGCGCGTTTGCAAGCTTTTCGTGGTTTCAAACGTTCAAACATGTGATTTGAAGTTGCTCCCATGCATTAGGGTGGGTGTCAAGGTCACCTGAAGGTCAGGTCAGGTCATTGACCTTTGGTGACCTCGGGTGACCTCGGTTCACTTTTCGAGTTTTACATGTTTCTATGCTAGTTTTTGGAACTGAATTCGAATTTAGCAACCGTTTGAACATTTACGAAGTAGTTTTGGTGCCTTCGTAACATGTTACGAAGCTGTCAGAGGCGGTTGACACGTATTACGAATACCCGTCATAACCCCTACCGGTTGACCTGACCTGACCTGACCCGACCTGGTCTAAATGCTTGAAGACATCATCTCTGATTAAAACTAACACGATATTCGTGATCAGCACCCCGGAAAACCACGTAGCAGCCACACTTTACGACTTTCTAACAGGTCCCGATTTTCCCGGTTTTCGGGTCATTGACCTGACCTGGAAGGTCACTCGATGACCTAGGACCTTAAAATTGGGTATCATGGGCTTCCTCTCGTGACGGGCAACACGCTCGTTTTTCCGCGAAGCTCTAGCTCGATCAGGGGCCAAACGCGAGGGGGGGTCGTACCACCCCCCCCCCCCCTTGTGCCGTCGAAGGACTCAAAATGGCCTGTGCCGGCGAGGGTTAACCTTCGCCCCAGTGGGGGGGAGGCATATGTTACCACCCTGTCACGTTTTTTTGCGTGTGAATAAAAAACCGCGGCGCGTAGCGCCGCGCCGCTGGGGGCAGCTTTTGGTACATCAATTTTGGACAATGTGTGAAATTTTTGACCCCAGGTCATGTCAGGTCAGGTCACCAGGTCAAGTTAACTGACCAAGCCTAAAAAAGTTTGCAATCATGTCCAGCCTGCAGTGTTTGTCAGAAAGGTTTTAAACTTGGTGGATTGCATGATGTTATGGGCGCCTACAATTTGTATTACTCGGATTTTTTATATCCGTGACCTAAGGTCAGGTGACCTTTCCATTACAAGTCAATAGAGAAAAATGAAAATGCCTCTAGATCCGTGTATACGCATACGAACAGTCCAAATATTTTAGAATCACAATGATTTGGACCACCCGTGATGACCAAGGTGTCATTTTTGCTGATAGCCTCTAGAAAGGTCATCCGAGGTCATTTGAGGCTACAAACAGATTTTTGCCAATAACTCGCGATTGGAAAGAGATAGAACGCTGGGGATGGTCTCATTGTGTTTGTCTTGCCGACACGCATCGACTGATATGCAACATGACCTTTTCCGGTCAGGTCATGACCTTGACCTGAGGTCAAATTTTTAAGTTGACCTTTCAAGGTCAAATTATAGTTCATTCGACGCGTCTCGACGAGAGGAACATGATGCTGGCAAAAGTAATGTCATGGCTCTTTGTTGTCCAAAGTTATTGTCGAAAATCACTTTTCGTAAGAACAGCTATGTTTGGAGTTTTTGCCCTCTGGAGGCTAAACCGTTGACCTGAGGCCAATTTTGATAATGACCATCTCAAAAGAAGAGTTCAAGAGCTATCGATTGCTTTTCCATGCGTTTTTCTAGCTACCTTAGTTCCTTCCTGAGATAACGGCATGTTTTCTGAAAAATATTATGACCATTGGCAAATTTTGACCTTTGATGACCTCTGGAGTCTGGTGACCCCAATATTGCTCTAAGATGAAAAATGACTTAATACTTTCAAACGTACGCATTCAGAGCTATCGACTGCTTTCTACTGCGTCTTTCTAGCCCTCCTAGTTTTTGAGTTAGAGGTAGGTGGTAACATATGCCCCCCCCCCCCCCCCACTAGGGCGAAGTTGGCTGAGACTGCCACTGGGGCGTGGGTTAAGGATGCTAAGTTCAAGTTCGGTATCCTCAGGGTATCTACGGCTATGGAGTGCGTAAACAAAAAATGAGCCTGATCGGGCTTGTTAGCCGGCGGCCAAAACCTAAGTTGTAAACAAGCCAAAATGTTGATAATTTTTACTTTGACCTCACCTTTGACGTCATCAGCGACCTCGAGGTCAATTAAATTAAGTTTCCTTCACCAATTTTTTTCAGGGCTATCAGACACCGTTTGAATTTTGACGATCGGCCCAGTATAGTTTCGGAGATAGGAAAGGGGCTTTGTAGAGCTGCAGATGGAAAATACCCCAGTCATGCGCGGGTTAACCTGCGACGGGCCGTGAGAGAGGGTGTTTGAACGACTCCATAACAAAATATCGTTACCCAAAATATATAATCGCAAAATATCGAATGGTAATTGTCGAAATCAAAGGATCGAAGTTGCAAAATATCAAAATTTCAAACTTTCAGTCTTCTTAGTGCTTGAGCAAGGAGCATTTGTACTTTAAAATACTTCTTGAATGACCTCTCCTTGAAATGACCTCACGTTTTTGTAAAATATATCCTACATTCAATTTCAAGGAGAGGTCATTCAAAAAGTATTTTTAAAAATTCAAACTATCAAATCGCATAATATCGAAGTGGCAACTTATGGAGACACCAAATATCGAGTGACAAAATATCGAAAGACATGATACCGAACGACCAGATATCGAGAAGACAAAATATCGAAAAGGCGAAATATCGAAAAGGCGAAATATGGAAAGACAAAACATCGAAAAGACAAAATATCGAGTGCAGAACATAAAAAGTCAAAATATCACAGATACTAAATTGTCGAAAATCCTGAAATAATCACTCCAGCAATTCTTTTGTCATTTCAAGGGAAGGTCATGTGACCAAAGGGTATTAAATTTTGCCTGTTTCGACAATTTTCAACACGTCGGCCCATTTCAAACGCATATATCAGCGAGAACTTCCTTCACGTCAGGTGATCTCTTGACAATGACGTTAAAAGACGTGGACCTAAAATTTGTCAAACATGTGTAGAAAAGATAAGTCATAAGGTGTAGGTATAAAAAAAGGCAGCGCTACTCGCCACCGTTTTCAAAAGGTACCTACTCTATCTTTCCGATATTCTGCGTTCAAGATTTTGGCTTTCCGTAAATCGTTCAGAGCTGCTGCGAAGAGCATGATAAATGTAGGAAATATCATTAGAATATATGAACTCCTCGCAAAATGACAAAATGAATGAAAATGATTAATAATTGATAAATTGATGATATTTGGGTCGCAGATCTTCGTCTAAATCGAATTAGGTAAGTCGTACTTTTATGTACCTTGTACGACTGAACGAATTCGATTTAGCTGAAAGTCTGTGACCGAAATATTATTGATTCATCAATAATTTCAATTTTCAATTCATTTCGTCATTTTCCGAGGAGGTCATCTATTCTAATGATATTTTGGCTTTCCGTTATTCTGCGTTCGAATTAGTCTTCTAAATATTTTGTCTTCCGAGATTTTACACTTTCGATATTCCACGCTCGATATTCTACGTCTTTCGATGTGCTGTCTCTTGATATTTTGTGTTTCGATATTTTACCACTTCGATATAATGCGTTCGATATTTAGCAATTCAATATTTTCCGTTTCGATGTGTTGTCCAGAACCCGTTTCACCTCTCTCTTGCGTTTTTTCATATCTCAAAAAGCGCCGCCATTTTCGGAACACCATATTCATGCATGCCGGTTTTTTTTGCACAAGTTGTGTAATTTTCTGACCAGGTCGCCCAAGGTCAGATAAGCAGGTCACAAGTGACCTTACCTAAAAAAAATGATGTACCTATCGCTCACCGCAGATACACCGACCGCAAGATCGTTTTGAATATTTTTGTTTTGCTTTGCTGGGATAGGCTCTTTTGCTCTGACGAGATCATTTCAGAGCCGGAATGATGATATAAATTAGGGGTAGACAGTGGTCTGGGCGGGCATCCTGGTGCTCCTTTGGGGCTGAGCCCATCACATGGACAGACACATTGGACAGGCCACCCATCCACGCTAACAGTCACCGCACCCGGCCATGGGCCTGCTCCTGGGGAAGAGCTACCCATGCTGGATAACCTGCGCCCCGCTGGGACTCCTGGATTTCCACGCCCTGCCGGGAGGGTGTGTTTGAACACCCCCTTCTAACACGGCTCCTGGGCCACGTGGCGACATGCGGTAAGCGGCTTCGAAGGAGCATCAAAACTAATGACAAAATTA